TGGTTGCATTGAAATGAGAGAACATTTGAGTAGCTGACATTAGTGATAACAACAAAGGTGTGAAATTTGTTTACCGTTACAAATATGGCACGCGATTTGTTTACTGTTCAACAAGTACCACATCGGCTCCAGCTCGGACGTTCCGATCCGAACATTTCCACGTGATCCGAACATTTTTTTTCGCCATGGCTAGGATACTAGATTAGTTCGCGATGATGTAATCAGCCACAAATAATCTTTCGATACTTCCAAAAAATTCCGTAAAAACCACGTGATTTGCCCCCGCTTTAGCCATCCCCCTTTCTTGGTAATTAAAAATTTCTTCTTGTTAGGAATCTCAATGAAAGATCCAGACTATTTTATGACTGAACACGACTGGTCTTTGATGGGTTTTTTACTCTATCATCAACAATGCAGTGATTTTTTCTACTCAATAAAAGCGAAGAACATCATTGATATTCCATCAACCTTACAGAAATAATGAGTTGTAAAGAAACACCAGAACATTTATTAAGACAGGCTGGCAGAGCAATTGTCTCAATGCAAGTTAAGTATTTTTCATACCCCATTACACCCAAATGTAATTGAAAACTCATTCTGATCTAGCAGTGGATGGGTCTGAAGGGTGTATAACCTTTTGGATGGGGTTGAGGCCTGTGTTCAATCACCCAACACTCTTGGTTGCAGCCAGGAAGTGCATGAGTCGAGGCTCGTGGTGGTTCCATCTTGTGTGAATGATTTTTCCTATCTGGTTGTAAGTGGATGGGTCTAAAGGATGATTACCTTTGGATGGGGTTGAGGCCTGTGTTCAATCACCCAACACTCTTGGTTGTGGCCAGGAAGTGCATGAGTTGAGGCTTGTGGTGGTTCCATCCTTGCAATTGGAGTTACACAAATTGTAGCTTGTATTGGCTTAATATTTTGTTATTTTGACTTTTACTAACTAAATATACTGTTAATAGAAGGAAAAGAAATTGCTGTTAATTGCGGAGTTCTGGGAGAGTGCTATGTCATCTGAAAAACGAAAGATGGCAACTATATCAGAACACATGACATTATTGGTATGGAAATGATTTGTTGAGTATTAGTATGTAATATATATAGCATTGAAAACTAATGTCTTATCCTACTTCTGCTCTTCTGTTTTTTTACAGGAGGAACACGCCACTATGGTTGTGAAATTGACTTCACAGCAAGATCAAATCATACGAGAAAAGTTTACAAGTCACCTAGAGGCAGAAAATTGCCTGTACAAATGTAAACATGGACAGAATGAGCCACGAACACCAGAAAATCAGGAAGGAGAACCTTCAAGCAGGATGGTCCTCAGGAGAAAAAAGAAGGTTAACTATGCTGAATCCTCAAGCTCATCAGATTCTGATGGTTATGTAGATAAATCTAGGTCTTGTGAAAGCATGCCATGCCCAACAACTCGTTCAGTTACACACACTTTAATAGTGACACCTAATAAACCCATTATTATGAATGCAACATATGAAGAATATTCTGCACACATAATTTGTGCTTTTAATACAACGATACACCTTGTCAAGGAAACTATTGGAGAACAAGCATATGAAGAAGATAAAAATATGCTCCAGATGGGAAACAAATTGGTTATGAATGATTCAATAGTCAAAAAGCTCGAAAACATATTTCAACCAGAATAGTCTGGAATTTTTGAAATCGAATCTAAGATAATTTCAGAGACCAAGATTGAAGATAATCAAACAACTGAAGAGTATAGGTTTATATTCTTTATACGACATGCATTACTAGACTTTGTCTCAATGTTTAAGTATTTGATGCCAAAAGTTTTGGATCGTGATATGCTTGAACGATCTTACATCATTGAATGTCTGTCACCAATTCTCTGCGCATTTCGCAATGCGTTTCCTGATGTAAAATACATGTGGGTAGAAAAATATGTGAGATTAATCAAAGAAGCAAACAACATGTTTATGAGTAATATTGGAGAACGAAAGACAGATTTACTCATTCTCAGGTTATCAGACGCAAGAGAACTGTTGAAGTATCTGGACCTCCTTAGCCATTCGGAATTGATGTTTTTTTGTGATCTCTTTTCCTTCTATAATACAATATCAAACAAAGATATTAAAACAAACATTGAAACACTCTTGAG